AAACCCATTTTTTAAAGATATAGGGGCTTTGCAGTAGAAAGGGCTTGAACGCTATATCTAATATATATAGCATTAAGGCTGCAAAGCCCCTATATATCTGATATGAAATTTATTTTTGTTACTCGATTTGTTTCTTTACGTATTTTCGAAAAAGTATATTTCCCTTCATTCTTCATTATCACATAGTATTATGTTATTTGAATTCAAAGAACTATGTTTTTATAATGTTTTTCGATTCGAAATAAAATGGTAACAAGTTCTTAATTAAATAAGGAAATATTGACCCTAAAAGTTTGGGTAATGATTCCAAATATCAAATGTATATAGCTAATAAAATATGTATTTACAATTTATAAAAAAAATCTTAAAGCTTTTCATATTGCATATCTTAAACCATACCTTAACACGAAAAAAAAATTTTAATGCTCTCCCTAACCTAATTATCAAAAGTGAATTCACTTTTAAAAACTAAATTATTAAATTATAAGCCTTGTTAACCATAATACTTTCGAAGTTACCATAATAATGTTTGTACAGTACATACTGCACTCTATTCATACATAATGTTAAATATTTCTGTTTCAGTATATCTACATTTTGCAAATTAAAGGAACCTGCAAAGTACAGGACGGTCGGCGAAACACAAGAACGATTTACGATAAGGTCTGACTGATATCAGATATGAATTTGATTGGTAAAGATCAAACTCGTTTTCAAATAGTGAAAGACGAAGCCTAAGTCCAAAAAAAGACGAACGATATACGAAGCTATCTCGCAAAAAGTGTCTGTTCCATGAACTCCAAGTCATTCCATTCGAATTTTAAAACTATGCAAATAACGATAACGATAAATTTAAACTGGTATATTATATCAAGTATTGATAAGCTATGGATTTGGTGCACTCCGGCGATTTATCCAGCGTAACCATCAAAAAAAAAAAAAGGCACATGATATCTGAAAAATGCTTTCATGTTGATCGTTTAATGAAATTTTTTTTCTTTAGTGCACAAAAGACTGGTTTCTTATGCAATTTTTTTTTTTTGCACTAGGTGCAGAGTTGGTACATGCCGTAGAAACAATGCCGAAATAGTTTCTACGGCATGTATACAATGGATCCAATGGAGAACCTTAATGAGTAAATGATACTTATTCGTTGAGGTCCATTCAGACTTTTTGTCTCAATGGATAGCAAAATTGCCAACCATGGCTAGGAGTGTCACTCTGACTAAAGGACGGATATTTTTGAAATACAGTCAACTCTATCTATTCTGAACAGTCTGTTCTCAAAGAGTTACTATGTTGCTAATCCGAACTTTATAATAAAAGTTACTCCCCATACATTGCTAAAAAAATATTTTCTCACAGGTTAATTAATATCCTGAGCAAAACTGAAGAATTCATAACTTACGAGTCTATTTTGAATCTATGATAAATAACAGTGAAGCTGAAAACCAACCAATGGTTTGATTTCTAATCACGATTTAGAAGTGTATATTAAAGCAGTAAAATTTTTGTAAGTAATTTTTTATTATCTGAAACAAAGGTTTTAAACATAGTACGTGACTTTACTTGTTTTATATAGTTTTATAGCTTATATGATTATTTTAAACCATAATACATTACAGCAAGCATATTTGGCATCAAAGAAAATATAAAGATAAACGCCTTAAAAAAAATATCAATGAATTAACATATACTAATGATATGTTTACTTCTATCATGAAAGATTTTTGCCTGGAAGACGCTGATTTAATTACAATATGGTAATTATATGGTTGAAACATTTATAATTACATTTAAGTTCTGAAATTTTGTGTTCAGAGTTTATTAAAGGTTCGGATTATCCAGGTTCAGATTAGAGAGGTGACTGTATATCAGATATGCTAAGCTTCTTGAAAGATGACTGCTGGTAATAAATTTATATTCCACCAAGAACAAGTTATATTACTAGGCTTTTCTTTTTTTTTTTTTTTTTGCTTATCGTTCTAATTGGTGATTATATAATGCTAAGCGAAAACACAAGTATAATGAAAGTTGTCGATCATTTGAGAAATCTGAGCATGAATATATATATTTTTACGAGCATAAATAATAATGTAACAAATAATTAGTGCAATATTAGAGATGCGGTAGAAACTGTTACGTTTATAGCATAAGTAATAAGTCGCAGTCTCTACCGTGTTTTTAAATTGATATGCATTCAAATTTCACAAAGTTGTGGTTTAAGTATATTTTTCCGATGTAATTTTGTTACTAGAGCTTTGATCCTATTTTTGACGGGCAATCCGGATTGAATCCATATTAGATTACATATAAAGCTAGCCTTTTAGCACGTCTTTAGATCCGTTATTTAAGTTCTTTGACCAATCCGAGTAAAATTTTCTGATCTGGATATTAATCTGTTTATTGTTTAGATTTAAAGATCAATTTGGATTGTCAGATTAAGGATTGAAGCTCTAATTTGCTACTGTTGAAAGAGTCAAAAGAAGCATAGCCTCTACTATTGAATGTAAAGAATTCGGTATAGAAAAAGCAATTATATTTATAAATTAAATAAAATCTATATTTAACTTTTATTTTAACTGGGTAAGTTTTACCTTTAGTCTTCATTACAGTTTTATAACTTTCAATTTCATTGGTTTTGCCAGCTTCGCCATCTTGCTTTTTAACGAAATTCGAAACTAGGATTTCGATTTTCGTCAACGCGAAATCCTCAGGTTTGCATAACAAATAACTATAAACTAGGGTTAAATATTTTCGACTGGGTTATGACCAGGTCAGTAGCCACATAGGTCAAGCTTGATAATTCAATTTTTAAGTGGTAGTATGTCGATATGAACTTTTAATCTTCTCGTGATGTGAGTTCATTCATTCTGGTTCATTAGAATTTATTCGTTTATTTTACTAACTCGTGATCTATTAGAATGCTGACCCATACACGGCAACCTAACCCGGGTATACTGGTTCGTAACGTGGGTTTCATCCTGTTCTAAAAAAATATAGATGTAATGGTCATAATACGAATACTTGAAAATCAAATCATATACGTTGCCATCAAGTTTTTCAAGAATAGAAACTGATAAACAATAAATGATAAATCTGAATGCCTAAAATTTTAAGAATCAAAGAATCTTTCTAGAGATTACAGGATTACGATAAAGGACTAATTTGCATTATTATTTTAAATGATCGAATAAAAATCGTTTATTTTATTTTTTTTTTAATTTTGATGAAATTGTTACGAAAACCTTAATTATCCTCACCAGTTTCTACTGTAAAATACAAGATCAATTGTAACATTAAAATTATGAAAAAAATAAAAATCATTTGTAACTCAATCCCATTTACGAAATCATCTTTCATATCTTGACAAAACAACTCATTAATATAATCCATGCGTTATTTGACCTTAACTCTAATTCTCTCGAGATATTTTATTATTTTTTGAATATTTTTTGGCTTCATTGTGTCGATCAGAAGTTTTGAAAGTCTATTTTTCTGCGCCCAATAGAAACTAATGGGAAATTAGTAAACTCAATTGCAAACGAACAGTCTAAGAGATACGTACATTTAATAATACCAGATCTATTCAATCATTATTTTTATGACAAATAATAAATAATTATTGGATGCTACACATCAAATAACACCTGTTATATGACCTTTGTTTACTATTAAAAAGAAAAATAAACTAATTTTATTTGTTGTTAATAGTAAAGCCTGCGACTTCCTATTAGAATCACCTATCTCAGAAAATTTTTTTAATTTCCTACATTTATTCTTTCGTTCTGATTCAAATACGATAACAACCAACATCATATGAATCACTAGCATCGCTTACATCAACCGATTTTGATAATTAATAAATACTTTGCGTTCATCTTTTTCAACTAAGATTCCATGATGATAATCAACATTATATGTACCCTTTGAAAATGGAACGAACGCTTTATGAAAGTTCTTTTCAATTTAATTCCTTCATCGCAATAATAACTAATATTATGACATAATCCACGTTGATAATAAACGACGAATACCTTATGTTTAATCCTTTCGACAACGATTTCATTTTGATAATAAATCCAACATTAATGTCCTGGTAGCATGATTCTTATACTTTTTACTATATGTTCTGATTTCTAAATATAATTTACTGTATAAATAAATATAAATATATAACAAATATGTATGAAGAATAACTTACTCTAAAAACCTAAGAGTTTTGAAGACCGTCAATATTTTAAGTTCTATTTCATATGATGGTAAATTGACCGTGTGCACTTTATCAGATCTATTAATAGATTAATTATAGAAAATATATATATTATAAGTGTTTGTAATATATTTTCGATTCCCAAATATGAAGTTCAAACTATAGATACTGGTGAAATCAATTTCATCAATTCAACATTGATTTCACCAATAATGGCGAAATTATTTCACCGCTTCAACTTTATTTCACCAGCATCTTTAGTTTAAACCCGTTATACATCTCACACCATTATAATGAAGTCGCTTTAAGTTGAACCTGACTAAATTGCTTGAAATTACTAACTAATGCATGCAAGAACTAATTTCAGGGGCTAATTTTAGTCAGAGTACTGAAGTTGCAGCGAACACACACTTAAAAATATCTATTTTAAGTGCATAAGGAATTTTATATATTTCGTAATTTCTTGAACTTTGAAACTGTCAAATCTTAAGCATAGAACCGTAACAAAGCATTGAGTTGTTACCGGTTGTATACCATTGTACAGTTAACTTCAGTCCGTTCTTATATGTAAAAAATAAAAAGTTCAGTTCACAAAGAGTTACTATGTTGCAAATCCGAAACTTTATAATAAAATTTACAAATGTTCTAGAGCTTAACGTTCGGTTTTCGTAGGGTGGATTAGAGTTTTTATTTAGACAAAATTAAGTGTCGATCATTTTATACTTTCAAAATTATTACTGTATTTGTCAATAATCATGAGATTATCAATTTAAAAAAAAATCATAAAAGGTCGCGCCGAGATTCGAACTCGGATCACAGGATTCAGAGTCCTGGGTGCTAACCATTACACCACGCAACCCTACTGACATTTATATAGCTTTTAATTAATTGAAAATTAATATACAAAATAACTATATTAAGTTAAATTATTAAACCGAAAAAATCTCTAAAATGATACCCTTTTTTAAATTTTTAAAATTTATATCATTGCATTTACTTGTTAAATAACAAATAGTGATTTTTTTTTTTAAACACAATATAATATTAACGGTTGTGATCTACAAAATTTCGGCCGGCATTACATAATGATTTACGTAATTTTCGGCCGAAATTAATTTTTAAAATGTTTCATTTCAAAAAATATAAATTTTTGAAAAAGGTCTGCTCTATGATAAAATAAAACCCAGGAATATTTTCTGCAGCTGTGATTTCATTAGTAAAATTTTGAGTAACTCTGGCAACTCCGATCATAAAATGTTTGATCGTCGCTCTTAGCCATGACAAAATTGATTTTCGTTATAATTTAGTGAAGATACATTCAAAAACCAGCTATATAAAAATCCTCTCAATTAGGGATGGGCAAAAGTAATAATACGACAGGGTGAAACCTGAGTTGTGAAATAGTGAAATCTTTATAAAATAAAAAAAAATAAAACGGACAAAGCGGATTTCACTATTTCGCAACTCAGGTTTCATCCTGTTCTGTAATAATTATGTAATAGAATAACTAAAATTTATCCCTTACATATTTTTATATAAACTATTACATATTATTAATACACTAAAAAAACTTGTTATAAATTAACATTTGAATAAGAAATACAGACTCAGTATTAGCAAGTACCAGTTTCTTTATATCTTTGTATTCTTTATTAGCTAATGCTAATATCTTCTTTATCTTCTTGTAGGTTTTGGCATTTGTCAAGCTAGAATCAGTAGAATTGGAACCTAAACAATAGAACTTCAGATAAGAACTGAGATTTTTTTCTTTTATATAATTTATTTGACTTTTAAGATATACATTTATCATATTAGGTTTTGCCGCAGATCACGTGAATCTAAATTTTGAACTTTGATCGAATATACAATTGCCAAAATTTTTTAGGTCGAAAATTACCAGCTGGGCATTTTTTAATTGATGATTTCATTAGTAAAATTTTTTATTATGCACTCTGACATATTCCGACCCGGAATTTTGGTGCATGAGTTATTAAATTGATCGGAAATAATATTTTAAATAACTATAACACAACTGATGGAAAGAAAACAAATCACGATATCACGAGAAATAATCAATTTTTTTTTTTTTAAAATAATCGAAGTCTTTTTTTAAAGAAAAAATCGAAAAAAATTTTTTTAAAGAATAATTGAAGTTTTTTTTTTTAAATAAATAATCGAAGTTTTATAAATATATATAATTCACATATTTAATTATCAGAATAGCAAATTCTGTACCCGAATTTTTTACAGAACGAATGATCGTTTAAAAAAAAACTTTCCGTGCCGGACTTTATTTAAAATAATGATATTTGTAATATATATTATAAAAATTGTAAATAAAATAAATAAAATTGAAAATAAACTTAATATAAAAAATGCATTGTTTTTGATCTTACACCATTTTTAATTGACTAAAATCTCTGATAAGTGTTTTATGTTTATATTGCATTTTTAAATGTTCAAGTTCTAAATGTTTGATTCTGGCCTGGACAGATTTTGCTTTGTTTTTTCGCTTTGCAGTCATCTAAATAAAAAATATATATATATTAGAAAAGAAATGTCTTTTCCAGTATGTGATACCAAAAAACGGATATGTATAAAATAAAAAATGGATATGGATATGGATATGGATAAAAATTTGAAAAAGGGAGGATATAAAAGTAAAAAGTCCACCTGGGTCTTATGACTCATCCTAACATGGACGGCCAGCTTCGCTCCTATGTGTATTGTGTATGGTGTATTGTGTATTTTTTTTTTTTATAGAGCTAGGCTCACGGCCAGGATAAATGTCTTCCGGGGTATTGATAACTGATAGAGAAGAACGTTCAACCATTAAAAGTTGGCTGGCCACGATGCGCTTTCGATTCTCTATTAGATTTCATTACACTGTAGACGGCACTAGGATTAATGCCCGAAAAGTATACACACCTTTGCTGTTTTTTGAAGGTAGCGGAACTTGCCAACTTAACTGGATTATAAGAATTAATAGCAACCAGGTGAGAAAATTTGATTAAATAGGATTCAAGTTAAAATGAAACATATACTAAGATACCTGGTTGATCCTGCCAGTAGTCATATGCTTGTCTCAAAGATTAAGCCATGCATGTCTAAGTATAAATCGTTTATACAGGTGAAACTGCGAATGGCTCATTAAATCATATGATTGGTTAATTACTCGTTTTTGCTATGATCTTTCTTTGACAGATCATTTCCAAAGTTCTAAATGTTTTATTCTGGCCTGGACAGATTTTGCTTTGCTTTTTCGCTTTGCAGTCATCTAAATAAAAAAAAAACATTAGAAAAGAAATGTCTTTCCAGTATGTGATACCAAAAAACGGATACATATAAAATAAAAAATGGATATGGATATGGGTATGGATAAAAATTTGAAAAAGGGAGGATATAAAAGTAAAAAGTCCACTGGGGTCTTATGACTCATTCTGACATGGACGGCCGGCTTTGCTCTTATGTGTATTGTGTATGGTGTATTGTGTATTTTTTTTTTTTTTATAGAGCTAGGCTCATGGCCAGGAAAAATGTCTTCCGGGGTATTGATAAAGAACGTTTCAACCATTAAAAGTTGGCTGGCCACGATGCGCTTTCGATTCTCTATCAGATTTCATTACACCATAGACGGCACTAGGTTTAATGCCCGAAAAGTATACACACCTTTGCTGTTTTTGAAGGTAGCGGAACTTGCCAACTTAACTGGATGAGAAAAATTAATAGCAACCAGATGAGAAAATTTGATTAAATAGGATTCAAGTTAAAATGAAACATCATATGATTGGTTAATTACTCGTTTTTGCTATGATCTTTCTTTGTCAGATCATTTCCAATAAAGTTTATGATCAGATGTTAATTATTCGCATTCATTTATTAAACTTGTTAAGATCAGGTATAACGTGATTGTATATAAACTAAAACCGGATTGGTCTATTACTGTATTAGTAAAATTTCACGAGATAATTAAGTAAGGCGATCATCAATCCGAGTTTTGTGGGGGCCGCCCTGGGGTCGTCATTAAGTAAGAGTCTTCGATTATGAATAAACATCATATATCGATTACGTTGTCGATTAGTTGTCGATTACGTTATTTGTATATAAAAAAATTTTTTTTTATGAATTAAATAAAAAGATCGATTGTTTGAACGTTGACAAAATATTTATATACAATGTCAAATTGACTTTAACAAATGAAAGTGCACATGTATTCGGTGACATATTGTCAAACCATATTATTCAAAATAAAAAAAAAAAGAATAAATAATTTTGAACAAATTATTCAAGTTAATGCAACTAATTAGAAGAAAACATAATGCAGACGATTGCAAATCTTGACAATTTCAATACTAATGATTAAATTACTTATAACAAGAACCTTCTATTAATAATCATGTGACAACTTTGGAGAACTGGTTATTTCTGGAAAAAATTGATAATATCTTAATTGTATTTGCATTTATAATTTATACCATAACAACAATATTAAATCATCTGTATTTGCAATAACAATATTAAACAATAATTTATTAAAAAAAATAAATATTAAATTTATATAATATTTGTGTTTAAATATTTAAATTACAACGAAATTTGAGAATATGTAAAATCATGCAAAAATATTTAAGGATATTTAAAATTTTGCCCATCCCTACTCTCAATATACTGTACTAATAACCTCTCGATATAATGACATTTTTAAAAATTTTTACTATGGATCTCACTACAACGAGAGTGACTTATAATAGGGTTAATATCGTAGGTTATCACTATGTTACGGTTTTTGGATAGATTGAGTAATGCGTTTAGGCTAAGGTCTTGCAAGAAACTAGAACCTTATTGTTCACTTAGACAAAAAACCTGTATTTTATGATAGGATTTTTTTTTTTTTTTTGTACATTTAAAATTTAGCAGTATAAATACAAGTTTAAAATAAAATCACTCATATCTTTAAAAAAAAAATAAAATAAAAATGTTAATAGACAAAGAATTTGTTACTAAAAAATTATAATTTACTAGATACAATCTCTAAAAAAAGGCAGAAAAACGGAATTTGATAAGCAATAAATGACGGTTTTTCTCTTAGTAATATCCAATAAATGAGTCAGATCATAATACCTGAAATCAAACCAATCAGATCGATTAAAGCGAACAGACAGCATTGAAATTTTTTAGTAGTATAGAAGATTAGTCGTAAACTACTTGATATAAAAGTATCCGAGCAAATTTTGTCTTGGTCAAAACAAGGAATGCGGATTTTTACAATCAACTAAACATGTACTACATACCATTATACATTCTTATATGATCGTACTCTACTAATTTCCATACACTTATTTCAAAATGTAGATACTCTCAATAATTTATCTGCAGTAAAGATTTATAAGCTTGGTTATAATTATTATTATGGAATTGGAGTCGGAACATTTGATGTTTGGTCGTTGGTATCAAAATGCAATTGGTGTTGAAAAGTATGAAACATAAAGCATTCATTAATTATCAAATTCTGCTAATATGGTGTTGTTCTTGGGATGAGTTACTTGTTATGAAAAAGAAATTAATTAAAGTTGAAAAGGATTAATATAAGGCCTTCATTTATTATCAAAATCAGCAGAAATTGGGATGTTAATAGAACTTCTGCACTATGAAAAAAGGTTTACGTAATTTTAAATGTATAATACCTGATACAGAATATTTATTATGATTCCGTATTACATGCTGAATTCGCCGCAAATTCGTTATTTTATATACAGTTAATTCCTTATGCATATTACGTACCGTAATTTGCCATATGAACGATCCGGGTCTGTAACATTCCACCAAAAAAATTAATTAGTAAAAAAAAAGAAAATAATT